CACATGGTTCAGAAAGGCCCCCCTGGGAGCAGGATGCAGAGCGCTCTAGAGCGCAGGCACGAGAGCAGACAGAGCAGGGGAGGGGTGGGACGCGCGATAGCCAGACAACCAGGCTGTCTTTCGTACACACCATTTATAGATTCAAACGCGCGGGGGTGGTGGCAGACAGCCAGAGGGAGGGCGAGAGTGCCGAGACCCCCTCTCCATCCTGTCCCCGCTCGACGAACCTTTTTCGTATGGCTCTGAACGCTGTGCACCACAATCTAGTTAAACCTTCTCAACCAAATACTTCATTAACCTTTAATTTTCATCTAACAAACCTTTCCTATCAAAATTTATCTAATTTCCTTCGCTAGGGATTCCAACTGAGGATGACCCGACCCTAGTATAAATTACCTGTCTTGGACAAGGGTCGAAACAGGCCAATTATTTACTTTCTTTAGCCAAACTCCATATTAAGGTAACCATTTTTTCTCATTTACATGATTTTCTTTAATCTTAGCTCAATATATTTATCATTTCCTTTCATTCTAGGTCACCGACACTCGCGGCCACACCCTCTACAAGCGCGAGAACTTCCATGTATGAGATCTCGTTTACGGAAAGATTAGTTATTGTTTGTTCCCCGTTCCCAAGGGCCAATTCCGCCTTCACCACTGAAGAGTACGACATCTTCGAGTGTGTGCTTCACCAATACTGCCCCTCCAAGTAAACCGGCACTTTTTCGTTACGTACTAATCCCAGGTATAGACCAAGTGGGCGAGAAGCGCGAATTCTCGCTGACGATGAAAGCACGGCGTCGAGGCCAAGATTACGACGATATCTCCAAGGCCGAGAAGCTGAAGCCGCTGGTAATGCTTGCCTGACGTTTACCTGATGTTACGGGTTTTCGTTTTGGGAAGCTGTTTCTGAGAGGTTTGGAAATTTGGAGTGCTTATCACGTTTTGATTACTTTTTGAAGCCTTTTCGGCTTTTCAATTTTGTAATTTGCCCGAAATTTATGTAAGCCTCTTTCTAGGTGGAGTTGCGACGACTCGAGGATCTGCACAGGCTATCGTCAAGGATTTCGCCTTCATGCCTTCCAGCGCGAAGAGAGGGAGATGCGCAACACCATGGTCCGTTTTCTTCTCCGAGATTTCTCACGCAGATTTTGTCGTTATTCTTGATTTCCGTGAATTCATTATTTTTTAGAATCCTACCAACTCGCGTGTTGCTCTACCTGTCCATCTTCTCGATGCTGTGCTTACTCGGGTTGACCATCTGGCAGGTGCGTTTTGGGTTCTTCCGCAATTTCCGGAGCTAGGGAACCAACTTTTTTTCTGGATATCCTATTTTTCTGATTTAATGGAAAGAGTATTTTTAATCTTTTTTTGCCTTTCCGAAAGTTGAAGCGTTACAAATTTTGGTTAAGCCAAAAATATCGATTTTCAACCAAGAGGATTAGAAAACCAAGAAATGTTTTAAAAGTTTTTTAATAGAGTTTTCCACTCGAAATATCGTTAAATGTTGCTAGAAACACTATTAAAACTCTTGCTATTACGGTATTAGCCACTGCGATATTGCGAAAACACTGGATTTTGCTATTATTTTTTCACTTTTACCGTATTTCGGAGCTTTTACCTAAAATCGGCGCTGATTTTGCTGACAAAGCTTTGTATAAACCAGCTTTTTTTGAGGCGCTTTTCCAGCAGCTCCGTGCCCGATGCGCTACTATTCTTCGTTTTCCAGTTGCTCTTCCTCGCAACTTCTTCAAGGCCAGAAGCTCCATCGGTAAACGACTTGTGCGCCAGTCCCTCCCGACACCCCCCCATCCAGCGACAACCCTTCCGTTCACTTACCTGCTGCAAATAGTGTATTTTGCCGTCTCCTCATCCAGAAGGTCGAGGAGCTCCCTTCGACAATCACTCCAGTGTGATATCCGTGCCGTTTCTGTGCCGGAGAACAGGTCCCCTCGCCCATTCTCTTCCTGCCAAAATCGCGCCTCACCCTTTTAGAATATCCTCATCACCCATGTCTCCATTCATAATTTCGCCTCGACTTTGTTTCTTTATCCCTGTAGTCCCACACCAAAGTCTCTGAACCCGTAGCCCCCTCCAAATCCCCCTCTCCAATCGTAATGATGATGATGTGTAATTTATTGTATTTCGCCATACGGTTACTTGTCCATTGCGGCCGCCTCGTCTGGATTTCGAGTAAACACGAATGATCCCATGTGAAGCGCACAGTTTCTCTTTTCATTGGCTGTAACAAAATCGTTTTTCCCGGGGTCCCTCCTTTTTTCCTGTTGAGCGATGAGGTTTGTTTTGTAGTGAGAAATAAAGTATTTATTCAAATCATTGTTTTTAGTATCCTTTACAAGAGGAAATTTCCATGAAAACTTATCTGCAAGCTTGTGAAAGGCATAGCACCAGGTTTGATGCAAGGCAAATCCCGCTGCTTGTCATCAACTATAATAATTTTCTTGACGCGTCTGTCCGTCCGTCCGTCTGTGTGAAGCCGAATTCAACTCGAAGGGGAAAGGAGCTAGAGCTTAGCTCTCTTCGGATTCGGATAGTGCGCCGTCAGAAACCCCCAAACTGATAAAAAAATTATGAAAAAGTTTTAGTTTAAATTATTAAAATTAACTTTGAAAGTTTTTCCTTAGTAAAAGGAGTGGGGCCCCCTCCCGGAGGTCAGGCCCCTTTCCCTTGGCCCTTTTACCCAGGCCCTCGCGCCCGCGTTTCTGGATTTTTTTTATTAAATTTTCACGATTTCATTTACTTTTAATTTTGTTAACTCATTTCATCGATGTATCTAGGTAGTTATTTTCGTTTTTGAAAGGGATTTCAGCTAGGGGGGTATCTGAAGCCATCGGGGAGGTATTTAGGTAGTTTTTGACGGGGATTTCGGCCATGGGGGTATCTGAAGCCATCAGGAAGGTATTTAGGTAGTTTTTGACGGGGATTTCAGCCATGGGGGTATCTGAAGCCATCGGGAAGGTATTTAGGTAGTTTTTTACGGGGTTTCAGCCATATGGGGGGTATCTGAAGCCATCAGGAAGGTATTTAGGTAGTTTTTGACGGGGATTTCAGCCATGGGGGTATCTGAAGCCATCAGGAAGGTATTTAGGTAGTTTTTGAAGGGGATTTCGGCCATGGGGGTATCTGAAGCCATCAGGAAGGTATTTAGGTAGTTTTTGACGGGGATTTCAGCCATGGGGGGTATCTGAAGCCATCGGGAAGGTATTTAGGTAGTTTTGACGGGGATTTCACCCATGGGGGGTATCTGAAGCCATCAGGAAGGTATTTAGGTAGTTTTTGACGGGGATTTCAGCCATGGGGGTATCTGAAGCCATCGGGAAGGTATTTAGGTAGTTTTTGACGGGGATTTCGGCCATGGGGGGTATCTGAAGCCATCGGGAAGGTATTTAGGTAGTTTTTTGACGGGGATTTCAGCCATGGGGGTATCTGAAGCCATCAGGAAGGTATTTAGGTAGTTTTTGACGGGGATTTCAGCCATGGGGGGTATCTGAAGCCATCGGGAAGGTATTTAGGTAGTTTTTGACGGGGATTTCAGCCATGGGGGTATCTGAAGCCATCAGGAAGGTATTTAGGTAGTTTTGACGGGGATTTCAGCCATGGGGGGTATCTGAAGCCATCGGGAAGGTATTTAGGTAGTTTTGACGGGGATTTCAGCCATGGGGGGTATCTGAAGCCATCAGGAAGGTATTTAGGTAGTTTTTGACGGGATTTCAGCCATGGGGGGTATCTGAAGCCATCAGGAAGGTATTTAGGTAGTTTTTGACGGGGATTTCAGCCATGGGGGGTATCTGAAGCCATCAGGAAGGTATTTAGGTAGTTTTTGACGGGGATTTCAGCCATGGGGAGGTATCTGAAGCCATCGGGAAGGTATTTAGGTAGTTTTTGACGGGGATTTCAGCCATGGGGGGTATCCGAAGCCATCGGGAAGGTATTAGGTAGTTTTTGACGGGGGTTTCGGCTGGGAGAGGCATCTAAGCCATCAGGAGAGATCGAATTGTTCTGAAGATGTGATTTCGGCTATGGGGGTATTGATGGAGGTGGGAAAGGATGTGGTGGAGTGGGACGTGTAGGGGTGGGCGAAGGCCAGATGTGGTTCGCAGTCGCAGAGAAGCGACTTCTTAACCATCTGG